AAAATATCAAAGAGTATAACTCAATCAATCAATCAATCTATCTATTTTTTTTTTTTTTGTAGTTAAAAACCTCTGACCTAAAATACATAACAATCTGTACTTCTACAGAAGAAATATAAACTTCCAAGGTTTTGTGTACGCAATAGTTCAAGTATGAATGTATCATACGACTATTGCATTTATCTATCTGGACGGTTACTTTGACTATTTCCGTTAACATCCAAACTATCACTCCTTAATGCAAAGCGTTCGATGTAAGGATATGCTCTCCTTGTTCTCTTTACACATTATAGTTGTAAACAAATACTTATCTGGAAAGCGAGCTGTCCATTCAGTTCTAAAGTATTTCATTCTTAATTGGCCATACAAGGGACATATAAGATAATGCATTTCGTCCTCTACTATGCGAATGTCAAGTATGAGACAATTTTTATATAATGGCCTTTTCCGATCAATAGCCTAGTGCATGACTTGAGAAGCATAAGTTTGATTGCACTTATCTTTGTTTGTAAGTCAAAGGTAAGGGAATAGAAGGTATCGCTCAGGATTCAAAGTGGTTTTCTTGAATTTATAACTGATACATTTAGACGATAAATTAATGTCAGCGAACATAGTTTATTGTGCAAGTCTGCTATTCTAGTTCTAAGTGACTTTAAAAAGTCTCTGCATCTCTGATTTTCCTTAGATATGTTCAAAAATAAGTGGTTTGTGCACTTTTAGGTTTTGTTTTGTTTTGTTTCTTTAAGTCGCATTGACCTCCGCTGGGTTATTTGATTTGGTGGAATCTATTAGGTTATCGCTTCCCAGTCTCTGCTGTTTAAATCATGGCGATGCTCACGGGGTTTGGAAACATTTTACAGAGCTGGAAAATAAATGAAATTGTCCTTAACTGCTGATAGTTTGGCTGAGAGAATGAATGGATATACGTCATTGCTTGATAAATTTTGACATGTGATATACAAAACCAGTAACGCCTCTAGTTCGTCGTGTGACCTGCACAGACTGGAAAACAAAAATCACTGCAAATGTTTGTCCTGTACCAAGATTGAAAGATTTAAATGTTCTTAGATGTATTTCTCGCAGTCTAAATAAATTCTGTAGTATAGTGTAAATACGACAAAAAGAGCCTCACTAATACAAATCAAATCCTGAAATCCTGGGTGATGAAGTGCTGAGAAGTGAGAACGTGATCAACAAATTTTTAGTAACTGCGCTGCGAGTAGCTTTTTATGACGCAAAGCGACGATGGTTCAAAGATGACGCCAGCTTTCAAATATTGAGTGTAAAATACATTAATTATTGTTTTTAGCTCTCCCCATGATATTCTAAAGGGGCAGTTTGAAAAAATGAAAATCATTTAAGAAAAATCATGTTTCGGTGGTCTTCGCCTTATACGCTGAGCAAACGACAGTTACGACACCACTGCCGTTTCCAACAATACATATGTACTGTACATGTGTAAGTACCCTCTACCAGGGCCATAGATTATTTTTCCATAGATATTTACATATATGACTTNTATGAATGTATCATACGACTATTGCATTTATCTATCTGGACGGTTACTTTGACTATTTCCGTTAACATCCAAACTATCACTCCTTAATGCAAAGCGTTCGATGTAAGGATATGCTCTCCTTGTTCTCTTTACACATTATAGTTGTAAACAAATACTTATCTGGAAAGCGAGCTGTCCATTCAGTTCTAAAGTATTTCATTCTTAATTGGCCATACAAGGGACATATAAGATAATGCATTTCGTCCTCTACTATGCGAATGTCAAGTATGAGACAATTTTTATATAATGGCCTTTTCCGATCAATAGCCTAGTGCATGACTTGAGAAGCATAAGTTTGATTGCACTTATCTTTGTTTGTAAGTCAAAGGTAAGGGAATAGAAGGTATCGCTCAGGATTCAAAGTGGTTTTCTTGAATTTATAACTGATACATTTAGACGATAAATTAATGTCAGCGAACATAGTTTATTGTGCAAGTCTGCTATTCTAGTTCTAAGTGACTTTAAAAAGTCTCTGCATCTCTGATTTTCCTTAGATATGTTCAAAAATAAGTGGTTTGTGCACTTTTAGGTTTTGTTTTGTTTTGTTTCTTTAAGTCGCATTGACCTCCGATGGGTTATTTGATTTGGTGGAATCTATTAGGTTATCGCTTCCCAGTCTCTGCTGTTTAAATCATGGCGATGCTCACGGGGTTTGGAAACATTTTACAGAGCTGGAAAATAAATGAAATTGTCCTTAACTGCTGATAGTTTGGCTGAGAGAATGAATGGCTATACGTCATTGCTTGATAAATTTTGACATGTGATATACAAAACCAGTAACGCCTCTAGTTCGTCGTGTGACCTGCACAGACTGGAAAACAAAAATCACTGGAAATGTTTGTCCTGTACCAAGATTGAAAGATTAAATGTTCTTAGATGTATTTCTCGCAGTCTAAATAAATTCTGTAGTATAGTGTAAATACGACAAAAAGAGCCTCACTAGTACAAATCAAATCCTGAAATCCTGGGTGATGAAGTGCTGAGAAGTGAGAACGTGATCAACAAGTTTTTAGTAACTGCACTGCGAGTAGCTTTTTATGACGCAAAGCGACGATGGTTCAAAGATGACGCCAGCTTTCAAATATTGAGTGTAAAATACATTAATTATTGTTTTTAGCTCTCCCCATGATATTCTAAAGGGGCAGTTTGAAAAAATGAAAATCATTTAAGAAAAATCATGTTTCGGTGGTCTTCGCCTTATACGCTGAGCAAACGACAGTTACGACACCACTGCCGTTTCCAACAATACATATGTACTGTACATGTGTAAGTACCCTCTACCAGGGCCATAGATTATTTTTCCATTGATATTTACATATATGACTTTAGATAAATTATGGTACTTTTCTGTGCGTTAAAGAAAAGTGCACATAATAAAACCCGCGGCCCTGGGAGAGGATAATGAGTAAGCATGGACAAAATAACTTGGTTATTTTGGCCATGGTGTAAGTGAGCGGAAGCAGTATACTGTAATTGCAAGTCAGGCAGTAATTCGTTGAGACACTTATGAGAAGTAACGGCTTTGTTTTAAGATTTACCTTCAAAATGTTAATTAAAAACACTCTTAACTTAATCATAGTCACGTTTAGCGGTCAAGGCTATATAACTTTTTCAGTTACGATTTACATACATACTGTGCGATAACTGATTTACCGAAAAAAAGGGCAGTTAGGGTGTTTGACCAGCCTTATCTACAAATCTGAAGAACCAGGCATGATGACACCGGATAGAAAAAACACGTTTGATAACCACTAGTTAGTAGTAGAAAAACAATCTTATGAATAAAGTACAATAATGAATTTATGGACCCTATTTCTATTTTTTTTATATGATTTGCACATGCCTGTGTTAATTTAAGGACAGCATCGCACGGTCAAATATAAGGAATTTACATAAATGCATTTACTTTAATCATTAAATTATCTTCCATCTTTAAAATGCATTCACTGAGAAGTATTTATAATTATGACAGCTTGCTTTCGTCGTGTCGACCAAGGCCCCTTTTTGTTAGTAGGTTACTGTCGAGATCGGAGAGATACCGAATGTATATCGACCATTTTCGAAGTTTGCAATTTACACAAAGTGAATGAAGTAGTTTATATTTTTCACACCGTGCACGATCGCGCGATAGATAGCATCATCGTCATTCGATGAAATGAAAAATGTCCCGCCCCTCAAAATTTGAGAGATCTCCTTGATAGAACAAACCTGTTGATTTTAATAGTAGTGGCAAGTGTCCTAAGTACTAAGTTAAGGTGATACGGCAGTTTATGTAAGTGTTTGAGACGATTGCTTTACATGTAATAACAGCTATCTTGCAATATCAATATTTACGGGAACATAAATGACAGCTCAATACGATGCAGTGATCAAATTAGGCAATTCGATCAATGCTCTCTGAACTGAAATGACTCACCCTTATCTATGACACGATTGGCCATCATGTCAGTCATGTACACGTACACTTACGTATTTTTAACGTGACCCCGTAGCTCAATAACCTTCAGGCCTAGCGAAAAGGATGCATTTTTAAAGCTCCATATTTACATAACGAGCTCGAACTTTGAAAATGATTTGGTATGACACATTTTCTGAAGGATGCGCACCGTTCAAGCCTTTCTGTTCGTGTGTCGCATTCGCTTTAATAACGATTCTCCAAAAGTCTCAAAAGTGTATTGAGTAGTTAAGAAAAGTCAAATTCACTAATTAGTTTTGAATATAAAAACGTATGACTAACTCGATTGCTGTCTGATTTGCTTGGCGAGAAGAACTGCTACAATAAATAATAAACTTGCGCATACTGGTTCTGAACAATGATCTAATGTTATCTTATATCTGAGAACACTTTTGATGAAAAATATATGAAGGCGATAATAAGCTTCATAAAGTCCCGCTTCAAAGGCAGAATCTCAAATAAACAATTCCTATTATTTTTAATCAAGATTGATGTAGTACAACCGATTTCTTTTAGGTTCTTGTAAAGTTATGTTTGGATGTATGCGTGTGGGGGGGGGAGGGGGGGGGTTGTCGTCAAAAATATAATTTTAACGCATTGCTGGTCTGAGGGGTAACAATCTCTTTCTCCAAAGAAAAACGCAGATGATTTAGAAATAAATCATTTTAGTGGTCCAACCTTTTGTATATAACCAATTGTCTCATATGACACTTTTGTTCAACATCAAACACTACAAACCCCGTAAAACATTGAACTACAATGAGCAAAACACTGAAGTGCAAGAAAAATCCTTTTTGGGTCGCTTCCATCACTGAATATTTGATGGATATTTTGCTTGAAGTCTGAACCTCTCAAGCTGACATTTCACCAAGAGATGTAGTGTGCGATATAGATCCTCAACACCTATGATTTATGGTAATTATGGTTTATTGTTAAAGGTTGCCACAAGCTTCATCTATCTGTCCGAAAATCTTTTCGCGACTAACAAAGGCGTCACCCCATGTTCGCATTCGTTCGCTACTATTACATGCCGCCGTCATCGCTGCGGGGTACTCCCTTGCAGAAAAGGTTGGAATGAGGGTAGATTCAGTGGCCACTGTTTACAGTGCCATTAGCTTCCTTGCCTTTGTTGACGATTGCACGGATTCGGCCAGGTTTCAACTGGCTTCCTGATCGAATTTAGGGTAAACAGGACGCATGGGCCTTTCGTGTGTTCAGATAGTGATTTGTATATAAGGATATTTGGCTGAGAAACTAACCGAAAATGTCGACTTTTAGTTCCGCTCACTCCTATATGTCACCGTAAGTATTGCTGCTGATTCATTTCTTAAAAGAGCAAAATTGTGTTCATTGTGAAATATTTCTTTTGCCTATATTGTATGTTATGCACTGGACAGTTAAAGGTTTTTTAATTTCCCTTATTTTCGGATACCTTGAAGATTGTCTCTTGCTTGTAAATGTTAATACTATTCAGATATTAAGTGACCGAAAACTCCATTTCAGTCCTCGTGGTGATTCCGTGCATGACGACCTACAGTCTGACCATCCTCAAAGTTCCGACATTGAAACACCAAGGGCAGTCCACGACTCTCAAGAAGAGCACCCAAGTGAATCAGAGAGTCCAACACATCACACAGACCCCTCATCGAAACACCGGCGGTTTTACAGTCTCAACTACGCGCCGACGTTTATACCAAATCCATTTCCTCATAGGAACACATATAGTTCGAGGAAAGGCTATCGGTCTTCCGTGATTCTGAACCCCATTTACGAGGAGGGGACGCATGGCAATGACTTAAGGTACGGGGAGGAAATATACTTTGGCCGACCTAATGGGAGTCATACCTACACCAGAGGTTTCATTTTTCACCACGATGAGGACGAAAGGGCGTCGTATCGCACGGCAACACCCGACTACAGTCGCCACAGTGGGATGCGACCAGAAAGTTTAGAATCTTTCCCGTACTATACTTGGTCTTCTAGAGCTTCTAGTTTTCAACGACCAATAGTTGTACCTCCTGTTGTCATAACAGCGCCTCCCAAAGATATGCCATGGCAACCGCCGCACATGCCTTTTTTCTTCAAGTGCCCGCCTCCGAAACCTGCAAGTTACATGTGGTTTGCCATTATAGTGGCCATGGTCTTCAATGTACTGTTTGGATTGATAGCAATTCATTTTTCGCGTAAGTATATTGCAATAAAAGTCCGTATATATCTATTTTAATGCCAATTTTATTTAAGTAAGAATTTAACGAATGTTATTTTCATCGCCGTAGAGTAGACAGCGACGTCAGCTGACATAGCGGGTTAGCAGGGGTTATATTTTGGAAGAGGAGAAAAAATAACAAACCACTTTTGAAAGTTCACTGGTTTTACTATCTCACATTATAAAGATCTTTTAGTGACATGATGCTTTACACAAATCTTAGCATTTAACACGGGTTTATGGCAAAAAAAAAAAAAAAAAAAAAAAAAATTATGTTTTCTTTAGAGGTTATTTGCAACTCGAGTGACCTTGTTGCTTTGTCCCAATATAATATTACATAGATATTTGTCCAGTTTGTGGCACTTATTTTTCAAATGTTATTATTTTGCGACTATTCATGATTAGTATCATTTATAAAATTAATTAAAGAAGAATTCGAAAGCACACGCTTAGGCCTACATACTTTTTCCAGGGAGTTCATTTCAAAAAGAGATAACACGAATACATGTAGATAGGCTAGTGAACCGTGCCTCACCCAATTTTAGAGGGAGGGGCAACGAAACTAAAATTCAATCTACAATTTTGTCTACATCATACACATGTCGTACACCGGACGCTTGACCCATAACGTGGCCTCACTTTACCGCGAACATCCTAATGTGATTTATCTATGTGACTGCGGTTGGATGGGCGGATGTTAGGACACGCCCTTACATGGATTTGTTGGAGAACGAAATTTTCACCCCTTCAAAGTTGGGACAACGACAGTATTTGGTAGTCAACATCAAATTCATCCATCAGTGTTACTGGATTATNCCGCAGCCTTTTCTTTTGTTACATGCTTGTTAGCACGAAATTCACGCGACAATACGAGTGATAACGCATGAATTTCGTGCCACATGCTTGTGAGAATAGGTCAAAATTCGTTCGCAATCGGTCGTAAGCCTGGTGTATTAATACATAGACTTAATTAAGATTAATACATAGTATTAATACAAAGGGTCTTAATACATAGACTAGGCCCAGGGGCGGATCCAAGATTATTTGTAAGGGGGGGGGGCGCGGATACGAAGCTGACCTTACCCNTAAAAATTTTTGTTTGAGGGGGGGGTTGTGGGGGGTTTTTTTTTTAAAAAAAAAGGGGGGGGGGGGGGGGGGGCCCTGACCCCCCCCCCCCATCCGCCACTGGGGCCAATATATATATCGGTAGCCAAGAAGAAACTGTAGCCTCATCGTTTTGAATACTTTTCTTACCTACTGCTGTGACATTGTTTTCAAACCCAGCGTTTTGTAGTGATCAGTTTATTTATTTATCCGCCAATTGATTAATTTATTTTGATATAGGAAATTCATGTGCATAACTTTCAATTTTTCAGTTGTGTCAAAATTCGAGTGGAAAAGAGGCAACGTGGCAGCCGCTAAAAGGAACGGACTACGGTCTCGAAACGTTGCGCTTGCAGGGATATTGACAACCGTGATCTTCCTCTTTATAATACTCGTATGCCTTGCAGGCTTCGGAATACTCGAGTTTCCGGATGTGATACTGTTGTGAAAAAGTAACAACTATCGCAATCAACCAAAAGATGACGGAAGCTTCAGCTGGAATCTGTTAATAATGTACTTGACTTGAATCGGACCGTACTAAAGCGGCCGAAGTGACCTTAAATGTCCCATAATGGATAGACAACGGTCTGATTTTTTTTTGTACGAGAGTGAAATATAACGTACTTTTAAAAGTGTATATAGAAAAAAGTGCGCTCAAAATCAGAGTCAAAGTTTTTAGATTAGTAGAAAACATTGGTTACAATTTCGTTTTTACAAATTTATAAAGGTAACTTATAAATTTATAATCATTATTTTCCATTATGTAGTAAGATAGTCATCAGTTATTTTCAAAGCAAAAATGTTTTCATTGGTAATACAAGTATACGTGTAGCAGTTCTCAATATTTTTAAATTAAGCATTAGTTTTAACCCCCCCCCCCCAAAAAAAAAAAAAACGCTTGCTCTTGCCCTCATGTGGAAAATGTAACAAGGTTTTAAAAAGATTCATAGCACAGACTAGAATTGTCAGATTTTACAAAATGTCAGATGAAAAAGGGGGCACTGTGGGCCCTTGATGACTAGCACCGATTTGACTCTTATAATTTTTATCATATTTTTTATTAATAATCAATCAAAACTCATAGGCATATTTGATTAGAAAGGAAAGCTTGAAATCGGACAAGAATCCACTGTTTGTACAGTATATCTTTATTGGTACATATTTGAATAATGACAACACCTTATAATGTGAACACTTGCCAAAACTTTTAGCATGCAGAGGAGATATTTCTTAACATTAAATGGGGGTTGCTTATTTATCTTTATCAGTTTTTTTCCAAACACACAGATGGCAGGAAAGAAGTGGATGGGTGTAATTACCAATATAAACAACAGAAATATGTACATTTGTAAAAATCTGTAGCAGAAAAATTCTTATTTAACCTCTTTGTGTCTTGTTTTTCTTATAATTGTCAGTGTTTTGAACATATACAGACTTTAAAAAAAGGAAAAATACAAGACTTGATAATTATAATAACCCCAATTTTCTGCGTGCATATATGAATTTTGCATACAAAAACTATGAACAATGACTCGACTAATTTGCAGATAAAACACCAACAGAAATATATCCAATTACATAATGACTCACAAAACTACATTTTACACCTCTAACTGTTCCATCAGAACATGGATGGAAAACAGTATTCACCGGTATGATTTACAAAACCGCTAAAAATACAAATATCTGCAAGTGAAATAAGCATTCCAAATGGCTGGAATTATTCAGATATGTAGCATAAGAGAGGTTTATTTGCTGTGATAGATTTCCTTTTAACTGAGGAAAGTGCAGGTCTATTGAAGGGAATTCTCAACAAAATCCTCCCAACAGAATTATTGTGAACATCAAGAACATGACCAAGAATAATATAATACAAAATTTAATGACATAAAGTTGTATCACAATAATGCAACTGTATATGAAGTATCTGCTTGTCTGTAATTGAGTGAATTTTCTCTTTTACATTTTTCCCCCCAATTTACTTGTCAAACTGGATTAGTGTAATATAGCAACCATTTCCCCCAAAATCTTTAAGTTTCAACTTTGGAATAGTTAACTTTGACTTAGACTAGTAGTTTTTAGAAACCTAATAGTCTGCGTGACTAGTGGGCTGAAAAGTTAAAGACTATGATTATGCTCAGTTATCATCAAAGAGAAAAACTCAGATACCACTTAAATGTGGAAAAACTGTTTAGGGAATTGTTCAGGGGACTTGCTGGTTGCTTTTTTTCCCAATCGAAAGAATCAATCTTTGAAATGCCTCCAACTGCACTGCTTTGACACATTATGCTACTCATGGCATTTACAAAAATATGTGCAAACCTGCGCTGTCTTCAATAACAATTGATTAAAAGACACAGTGAACTTTAAGTGGACACAATATAATACAAATACCACACTTCAATCAACAAATTTCATTACAAGAGGTACCTTAGATTCAACATAATTTGTTGTATTTTGCTTGATCTTTATGCCATACAGCACAAAAGATCACTTCTTATGTAATATCAGCCTACATAGCAATAGTAAATGCTCTGATGTATTATTCTCCCTACCTTGGCCTGTAGAAGAGGCTCATGAAAACGTGTACCCACATTTCAAAGATGTGACACTAGTCACAACTAACACAATTATAATATGTTACATTTCTCACTAACAAACTGCACTATACTTAGGTGATTTCTGACTGCAAAGACAGGTTGAATATAATAGCATTTTAACTCCTTGCATGGAGATGTAAATTTAATTTAAGATATAACTGCAATCAGAAAACATCATAATATTTTCTCTGGACTTTCTCCATTATAAAAATCAGGGTCAATAACAGAGCAAGTTGATCCTTGACTGCAAAGATGTACCTAGTCATATTATTGATATAATTACAAACCAAGTGACAATCCCTGAAATATTTCTTTCCAAGTAATTCTTAGAATTAATCAAAACCCAATAAACCGATATATATACTCATTCTTTCTTTTTAATGCTTACGGTAAACAACCACACATAATTGCATGGATGCCAGCATATACGTCTAATTTCTTTTAGAAAAAGAAATTTTCTTTTTCGTAATTTTAGATTGTTCAAAGTGCTGCTATTCAACATATCTTTTTAGAATGAATATCATTAGATAAATCTTCACTGTAACTATCTCTGAGGGCTCCTTCTCCCCCTTTCAAATATTCCGTAAATACCCATGTTTGGAGGATCTTCCAAGGAGTTACACCAGAAATCCTAATGCTTGCCAGTTGATGCCAAGGGTAGTCAACATGTAGGGTATCATGAGCAACAATATTCCCTGGTTACTGCAATAAAAAGCCATCCTCTGCAATTGTGTATCTGAACAGGACTTTATCAGGTGATTTACACAAGTCTTTCTAAACAGTGTGACTTGAAGCAGTCAGCTTGTATCGTGACTGCTGTGGACACATCCTTGTTCGACTCTCTCTCCTAAAACAGGCAGTCCTCATGTAACTCGCAGTCTTGTAACAAGTCTTGTAAGTAGTTATGACTGCCTGCACTGAGAGCCCTTCTAGATAGAGTAGAAGCCCTCTGGTTCCAAGCTGGTTGCCCACATCACCATGTTAATATCCAGATGCCCCTTCCATGTAGAGGCATTCCTGTTGTTCTGGTCCTCCCAGAAGTATACCACAGAATTCATGATTTCATCACTGTATTTCTGCAGCCGATCAATCTCCATGGGGATCTTTGGCCTGTTGAACCCAAGGGGTGGATGCTGCTTTAGTAATAACAGCATCTGTGGGACAGCCTTAAAACCAATAACAAGGCCAAGTTCTCTAAAGGCGAGACGCTTCTCTGCACTCCCTGTGAGTTTCCTACTGCCAAATCCTTCCATACCCACCACACTTGATTCTAGAATTGTCTCAGTGAGGAGATCTCCACGTTCTAGCTTCCCTTCCACTGTTAACTTGAGGACTCTGTAAGCATCTGTAAGTAGTCCTCCCATCCCCAGGGCATCAGTAGTGACCCAGTCCCGACACTTACAGATATTTTCCATGTCTACAATCTCTGCAGCCAGATCTGGCATTCCTTCCTGTCCCAGGGGCAGGTACTTCTGGATGACATTGTATGTGATTAAGCCATCGAGAGGATCATGGTGTCCCATGGAAGGCACTTGGGGGCGGGATAAATCAATGCTCATTTTCCAGTACATGCGTTTACGATTCCCTGAGCCGTAAGTGAATTTTGCATGTGCAGTCTTTGCAAGCTCTGCTGCCCAAATATTGTATTTTGGGTCATTTGTGGCCACGGTCATGCATGTTAGAGCATGCATCCACTTTGTGAGGTAATGGTAATACTGGCCATCTCTATCCCACTCCAAATCATCATCAACTGGATCTCCAGCACCACGCTCAGGCAGCTGCTTTCCTATGCGCAATCCTCCTATAGTAGGGTGCACCCTCCCTTCCTCCTCTGACAGCCCACTGATCCAGCCTTGCCTGGCATCATCTGGGCGGTGCTTGCCTAGATATGTGTGTACCTGCTCCACCAGCTGATGGGCCAGCTGCTGGTATCTCATTTCCCCAGTCCTTCTTGCCAGGCCCAGGAAGTTGCATACAGCATAAGCATCAGTCCATAGATATCTGCGCGGTGGCAGTCTCTCTGGGTAAAGTCCTGTGTTNTTCCACTAGCTGATGGGCCAGCTGCTGGTATCTCATTTCCCCAGTCCTTCGTGCCAGGCCCAGGAAGTTGCATACAGCGTAAGCATCAGTCCACAGGTATCTGCGCGGTGGCAGTCTCTCTGGGTAAAGTCCTGTGTTAGCTGCAAACTCCAGCATGATGCTGGCTGCATTTGGAGTTGAACTACTGGCCATTGTTTGAACACTGCTCAATGAGAAATGTGTTGTATGCAAACCTGGAAATAGAATGAAATGATATAAAATAGTAAACACCCATAAGGCATACATAAAGAACACAAGAATTTACTGGTACCTTCATAAATGAAAGTTTAACAACACATGTAGCATAAAAATAGGATAGGTTTTTTTGTTATATAATAAAAGACAGCTTGCAAGGCATTGGCAGACAACTACAGTAGTCCAATTGGTTTTAATTGCAACTGATATTAGGGTTATGCATTATAATATAATTGTAGCTACCTAAAAAATAAATTATTCTACAAATCCCATAACCAACCAAAACTAAAGACTCGCAATTCAAAATTTTATGTACATGTAGTGAATTACCTCTATGACTTTAGAATATTGTTAGCTTTTGACAAAAACTCTTTATTTACAGCATTACATACATTTATATGGATAGATAGATCTTCAGTGTTCAGTGACTTAATTAATTAACATTTACACACATGTCATCTAATGGGTGACGCACTCACGAACACCATTTTCAAGCCAATTTAATGACACCATTTAGTACTCCAAAACCCTGCCAGCAGTTCTTAAAAGCCTTGGTTCAGATTTTTTAAAACATTGATAAAGCAAAATAAATCCCTTTGTTTAATGAAAATCTGTAATTAGGGGCTCATAACTCCATAAACAAAACATTTAAACCAAAATGACGCCACAGGATTGTAGCCCGCTGACTTGTGCTCAACTTTGCCAATTTTCGTGATAAAATCTTGTGCAAGGATGAAGTTAGGCCCCATGCCGATTGCTCTTACCCCAAAATAGAAAGGTGTAAATATGATAACAAAAGCTTAGAGTTACCTATACTTATACATTGCAACAAGAAATATAAATGCAGATACTGTATTTTATATATTCGAGGGGATTTTTATTGTTTTAAATCAACACAAAGATAGACACATTACTGAATAATTACATAAAAATGATAATACTGGTAACATTAAACACCGTGATATGAAAACATCAACTTATCTATTTCTTATCAATTTTCTGCACATTTCTGTAGTATTTTCATTCTATCAACTTACAAAAAGTAGGGCTCATTGTTACTTGTTCAACAGTGGGTTAATCTGAATATCAATTATAGCAATTGTGGTATTTGGTATTTCAGATAGCTTTTAATAGACACATTGTCCGTGACCAATCTAAATTTGTGAAGATTTTATTAAGGCTATGGCAATAAATTTTTATTTAAGGTGTGATGTGAATTTTTTTTCAACCATGAATTGGCTAAAAATCTGGTGGATACATCAGCATTTAAAAGATACTTCCTGTTGCCTTAAAAATAAACAGTTACTTTTTCACAGATCAGAATATGTTGAAATGACAAAATATTAAGTAATTATACATAACTTACATGTACATCAACCAAATTACCAATAACAGGAAAATGATGTTTACGTCCTCGATACTGTTTTGTCTTTATTTCCGCTCTTACCTAACATGACTCTTCTATAACATGGCATTTCATAATAACATGAATCACGAGGCAGACAAGACAAAAGAAGTCATAGGGCAACAATGGTGAAATAACAACAATATTGTTAGGAACAACCCACACAGAATTGCGAGTTTTAACTTCGTCAGAAACAAGGGACAAAGTAGGTCAACTCAAGACGTTTTTCTGTCTCTGGATTACATACCTCTCTCTGGTGTCAGCTTAGATGCTCGATCTCTGCCCCACCACGGGACTGTGAGACTAATATCTGACTGTAATGCGGTAGAAAATGCGGTTAAAATACTGCAAATTGGGCGCTTTAGCATAACCGATCACCACCATTATGCGACCTTGACCCAAATACTTGTTTCAGAAAGGGCAAAAGTTTAACATCGAAGTCTTTTTAGACCATTGGTCAGTGATAAAAAGACCACGCCCATTTTAGCATACACAAAGAACAAAGGCAATTAATTCTGGACATAAATGAAAAACTGAAGTGACCGCTTAACTGGACTGTTAATCTAGCCCTATGCTCACAGCACACCTTTTCCCTGTTAGTTTTCTTTTTTTATTTCTTTTTTTCTTTGTCGTTATAACTGTATCTTTTGAATATTCCTTTTCAAATGAGTGATTTGAATAAGCGTTCTCGTGTAATGGGTTGCAATATACGAAGTACTGAAAACAAAATGTCAACACCCCTTTTTGTAAGCTTTTTTAAAACCTCAAGTCATGTGTGCGTGCGTGTGCGTGCATGTGTGTGTGTGTAAGTTTACAGTTTAAATATTTAAAAGGCAGTGATATTTTTGTTAACTTTTAAGAAGTCAAAGTCACTCTTGTAAATTAATAAAAGAGGTATAGAATTAATGAAAAGTTCACAATTTATCTTAATTTAATTTAAAATAAAATATTTTTTACATTTCATAAAAATATATTGGTTCATGCAATAAATGGAAATAAGGGAGTTCCAAAATTTTTTTCACTCTATGTTCTACTCATAGTATCTTTTGCATAATTTAACTTTGCCAAACTGTGAAGCCTCATTAGAAAAGAGTAAAAAGAAAGTAGAAGTGTATTACTGAAAATGTGTGTATAGCTTGATCCATGTATATGTAACAAATTGTATGTGTTAGTACACAGGAATTCATAAGTGTAGCATGCATTATAATGATTTACACAGCTTTAGCTCGTAACATCTTAATATATTCAGTTTTTCCATGGAGTATGTATTGCTAATACTTCAATATAAAATGTGCAACAAGTCTTTGAAAAACAGCAAATAGCATTGGAGCCTGCATAATACCACTGAGTGAAGGGGCATAAGGTAAAAATTCATACAAGTAATATGTAAAACAAATCCCTAAAATTATCCCTACTAAAATGGACATCTTAATCAATATTTAAGAACAAAAAATCCCATGTTTTTATCTATTTATTAAATGTTATTCATTATTTGTAGTATAATATACAAAATATTAAATATAAAATATCCAGAGTCTGCATCAAAAATCATTCTTGTCAATTGTCCTCAGCAATAAATAATAACAAATCAGCAACTGTTCTTAAAATAACAATACACTTTAAACCACAAAATCTGAGTACTGTTAATAGTAAATGCAATTTTGGGATAACGTAATGTTAATACATAAAAGACAGGATTTGTAGTAAAGTTCTGTAATTTAGAAATGCAATTTTTGTTTTGCTATTTATAATTGTAAGAAAAAAGTGTCTATAAGTTCAGTGGTAAAGTAAAAATATCCACAAGTTGACCTTGTCACAAATGTGACTTGAACAATACTAAAATAGTTAACAATACTAATATACTCTGCAATTGGGAGGTGGATAGTACATGTGAGAGTTAAAGATAACTGTGCTATTATCCTGCATACAGGTATTTTGTTATCAGTGTACGGAAAAAAAATGAGTCTGTAAAAAAACAAAACAATGAACTCAAAAACTGACTTTAATATTATCTTTTCCTTTTTTGCTTTTCTTGTCAGTTTTGTAAAATTAAATCTACAGCCATAACTTTAATCTAAAAAAAGAAATGATCATCAGTTGTTCCAGTAAAAAAATTCTATAGAGGAACAAGTTTACAATACTGCTCTGGTGTTTATGCACAAGCAGATATTATGTCACTAGCTGCATGTAAATTATAAACTCACATAATTTCTGCTTTATACCTGAAAATGTGTATTTACTAAAAAATTCTTATCTTTAACGAAAGTATTCCACCAAAGATAGGTGATTTCTAGAACAAATCAGTATTGAAAATTTCTGCATAATATCATCATCATCATCATCATCATCATCATCAAAAAGATATGCATATAAAGCAAGGGGAACTCCTATCCTGAAGGATTAACCCTGTGTTGAAATGCATGCTGGTAAAATTAGAGACATTCTTACGTCAGTGTCACACCTCCGTGCCTACTGTGTTCACATTTTTATGAGATTTCTTTAAGTTTGTGTCCTTTATTTTCACTTGGGCTCCTTTTGAGGTGAGTACTAAATTACTTGGTCTGTCCAGATTATTGCTTCTTATATGTACTGGCTTAGGGAGGTCTCTGTACATGTTCTCAATATTGTCGTTATTTGCAAGCTTAATCTGAGCATTTGCAGAGTGTTCACTGTGTTGCTTCTTTCTCTTTGCACGTCTTCTGAGAACAATTATCAATATTACTAAGATGAGTAAAAACACACAGACTGCTGGTACAACTGGAACCAAATAATTAAACTCTGCCTCGTCAGAAGATAGAGAAAAGGCTTCATAACCGCTCATATTGAGTCTCAGAAACATTATATTTGTTCCGTTTTTCTGCTGACTATTTTTCATCCACACATCGTCTGTTGCTTTCCTGAGATCTCTCTTGGTAATAGCTGGAGTGATATCTCTTTGGTATCTGTGTAACCTGTCTGCGGGGCCTATAACATAGATGACTTGGAGGTACCACTGATGTCCTGAATCAACCTGAAAGTATCAAGTTAAGACATGATCAGCGTATATTCAGTGGGAAACTGCAGTAAAGCATAGTAAAAGAGAGAAAGGGTGGGGAGGCATAAAGTGGGGAATAAAAAAAGTCATGTTAAAATGAACAACATATTTAAGACCAGAAGTAAGTGGGACTTTAAGCAGTAAATACATGACCTCTTTGGATTACTCCTTTTATATATTTATATGTGTAAACAAGCAATGCATTGGGCCTCATTTACACATCTGGGCAATAAACTTTATTTTATGAAAATTTTACAGTCACTCTGATAAGAAGGACAGAGATGGTTAAACTTAAAATATATTTTATAATGACAAAATAACATCAAGGATTTTTGAGGCATATACAAAAGATCAACATGTTTTTGTATTTCCACCTACTTTGTACAGAGGGTCCACTTTGAGGATGAAGCCATCCACTCCAGGCATGTTGACCAGTGATATATACTTGAGGTTCTCACTGGCCAGCTCAGCACCAAAATCTACATTATTGAATGACATCACTGCAGCCTCTGGATTACCTCGGTCCTTGAAATTAAATGAATAAAATGAACTGTAATGTTAACTAAGTATGTATTGAATAAGTGATAAACTGTTGAAATTTTGATAACTGCTTAACTAAACTTACACATCTGTCTGTGACTATAACAATCACTGGGAAGAAACCTAGAAACTTTTTTCATGAGTATTAATTTCAGTGAACACTATATAAATAATAATGAGATGATGTATTGGCATATTGTATTATTTCCTGATAACTTACCAGTATTAAAAATCTATACTTGAGATAAGGACTTGGTTGGATGCACCCATACTGTGGTCCTTCATTGTAGATATCTCCCAGAGGGTCATATGTAGGGACATATCCATCTTTGCCTGGAGAACAACAATGAGTGTTTAAATGCACAAAAGTCAAATATATAGCTTATAGCTTTAAACTAGAGGTCAAGAAAGCAGAGCCACAAGCTTTTAAGTTAAACTTAAAAGTACTGTAATCACAGAGCCTATGATAACATATACATCATCTTGATCAAATATTTTGGAAAAGAATATCTTCTCATCAGAAGGAACTCACCTGTGCAGATATAAACCTTCTCTATTCTGAGTTCATATGCAGTGTCTAAGTCTTGTTCTGGGTTCCACAGCACACGCCCATAGATAGTCTGACCTGCAGTTCAATGTCACCAGGATTATATAAAGGTAAATAGACAGCTAATGTTCTTTAAGCTGATAATGAATAGAATACAGGTTCATATACCATGACACGTCTCTAATGTGATACTACAGCAAGAGAGAAAAGCTGACAACCAAACACTAAAAACATATTTAGGACCTAATGAGTCATGAATACCTGGATGTATGCCAGACATTCAACCTGTTGAACAATCCATATAAAAGAGCATATTTTTTTATCAACTGACCATGCATTTTGACCACACAGATGCTCCAAAGAATTTTAACCTTACAGAACTATAGCTTGGAAACTATGGTGTGAGCAGTACAAAAATGTAATCATTTACCAAATAAACCATAATTCCCTTCAACTGAGACAAAGATACAAATTTGTTCATGTAACATAGATAAACTTAAAAATATTGATCACTTGACAAACGCTTTTGGGGAATGGTGAAGCTTACCTTTAGTAAAAGCTCCATTATAGTCCAGTTCATTCATATTGATTTCAGGTTGTTTGGGATCTAGAAGAAACATTTTCTCGTTGTTTGTCAACTGGAACTGTGTGTTGAGAGAATATGCAACTGGAACTGGTCGATTGGTCTGCTGGAAACTAATAGGGACCAAAAACCTAAAAAGTAAAATAAATACCAACTGAATCTTGTATTTTATTTTACTTGTTATTTGTTGGAAAAATAAAAATAGAAAAAGAAAACACTCGCATGATATGGTAAAATACATCCAGTGTGGGCATGCAGTATTTAAAATGAACTGCACATTTCAAAACTCATTACTATGAGGCACTCATTTCAGATCTCATTTTATACAAAAGTTTATAAACAAACAAAGAAATAAATAGATAAATATATAAACATGTATAAAAAAAATCCAAGTATACTACATTTTTGTTACCTTTCTGGGTGGTGTGCTGTGCAGAGTACAGGCAAGTCTCTGGTGTGACTGTAGGACTGGGTAGACTTCACTGCACAGGGGAGGAGATCAATAGTGTACTCTCCAGAATAGTCCTGAGAAGAAAAGAATACCACAGGGCTAGGATAATAATTCTGAAATCAGCCAGTTATTTATTTAAGGGTTTCACGTCAAATGGTTAATTTTGCAGTGATAGTAATCTTATATATTAAGACACTTCACTACCTCTCCAGCTTTTACCAGTTTTAAAAAGTATGAGAAGAAGATAAGTATGAAAAGAAACAGAACATTCACGGACAGAAATTTTCTTTTTTTTTAAGAGCCTATATCTTTTATAATGCAAAAAAGAAGGCAATGCCAGTATACCTTGAGATTGTACTTGCTTGTTGCCCTCCACAGCTGGACAGGGGCATCAAAGGTCTGCTGGCTCCAGATTAGGGCCAAATCAAAGTCAATGGCTACATCATCTGGAGGCAAAACACGGCTCTTGAATCCTGGCAAAGTATGGTGTTCCAAAACATATTGACCTGGAAAAAAACAAACAAAAATCATGTAGCTGATAGTTATCTGTGACTCTGCTTGGGTTGTTTAAATTTATTTTCAGAAGATTCTGAGTGTAAAATGTTTACGTTTTTGAGTTTGGAGAGAAGTGTGCAAGCTTTAGGAAACATGAATTTCAAAATGGTATTGTATTTAAAAATCAATTGACTGACAAACAAATCAAAAGGAAGAAATTTTGGTTGAAAAATAAAAGCAAAAATGCAACCTCAATCTGGATGTGCAGAAAATATTTTAATAAAGTGATCAAACATGTATTGAGTACATGAAAACTACCTCTAAATTTTGCCTGAGTCTTGAAATCCACTATTAATTTCCCATCTTCACCAATCACTATCTTGAGAACCTGTAGTCTGCCACTAAGTTGACCCTCAGTCTCCAAACCAGTCCTCCACAAAACAGTATTATAAAAGAAAGAAAACTCCATTTCTGTCCTATGCTCAAGAGAGCCCCAACCAGTGGGGGCCATTGTATAGATATAAGACACATACAAGGGTACACGTATAGTGAGGTAGGTTTGTGCTGCATCACGGACCATGAAATCAGAGATAACCGCTCCGCCGCAAATATCCATCAACTCCGTCATATGATACCATGCATCAAACGTCCAGATGCAGCTTTTGAGATTCAAGTGTTTGTAAAAATTGATAGCTTTTGGTTCACGTACCCTGAGATCAAACTGGTATGGCCTGTCAAAACCAGGCCCTATCAAAGTCTTGTGAATTGTCATCTGGTCCAAGAAGCCAGATTGAGTGAGAGAACTTCTTTCCTCACTAGTCAGCATGTTAGAACACACATGCTGTTGTCTATAGACTGGTTCTGTTAATAAAAACCTTAGATTATGCAATGGGTATGTAGATATGAGAGGTAGCATCCCATCCTGATGAGGAATTTGAATAGATATATGTATGCGATTTGGATGGTCTTCATCAGAAGGGCTGACATATTTTAAGTTGGCAATGAAGGACTGTGCCTGCAGCCCCTGAGCAGTTCCTGTCGATATGGGACTATGACATATTCCATTGTTGGTTCCTATGACAACAACCTCGCTCCGCAAAGGCACCCCCTTACTGCCAGTGTGGTCCACTGGCTGTGCCAGGCAACGTAAGCGGAACCCTGGACGGAAGTGTATGCTCTCCAGCACACTGTGCTCCACGGAGGTGAACAACGTATTATCTGTGATGGCCTCAAATGGTGCCGTGGTGCCATCGAGGTCAACTGGCATGGCAACCTCCCAGCGATAATGGACCGCGGACTGGTTAATTCCTGCTTGGTTACACATGGTACCTGTTATACTGTAGGTGGGATAGTGCAGGTCACAGGGCTGAGGAAATATACATTATATCTATATATTATATATAATATATTATATCTACACATATAATCTTGCTTGGCTAAAACTGGACAAGTCTATGCACTGTAAATATTTCTTTATATCATATATCCCTTTCTTATTCTGTTTAGATGGTACAATTATTTTAAGCTAAAAATTTGTCTCTTGTTATGCAGTCATATCACACATCACAAAATAACCAGTAGTTAAGAAAGTTAACTCATATAGTATACTTACTGTCACACAGATAATAGGGTAACCAGGACTAGGGTTATTTTCTACTCCAACCTCTACATTGTCATAATCCAAAAGAGAGACCACCTGGCAAGCATAAATGTGAACCATCAACCTCTTTACTATTTACAATCAGTTTAGGACTAATTTACAATTTTCACACAAAATCAAACTTTTTTGTAACTTCCAACAGAGCAGAAGTATAACTTTAAACATTAATATTTAACATTTTTGCGAAGATGCCCAAGGATTCCCATAAGAACATTACCTAAGGACAAAAACTATATTACTATCACCTTTCCTTTTAATCTTATAAATCAAGATATATTACCACAGGTGGTGCAGGTAATATGAGACTCCCAGACACTTCATGGTCCAATATGGTCACTGTTGCCATGGTGACCTTCCCAAATACAGCTTTAAATGGTTCCTCTGGACCAAGGACCACCATGAATGTCTCATGCCACTCGACATCTTCATTGTACAGCACTTCTATACTGAATTCAGCAGATGTCTCTCCTGAAATAATGTGAATCTTTATATTTAAAATCATGATTTTTATCACATTATCTTAAAATACATTCCACAAGTTCATAGACATTATCAATTTTATAAGACACTAACCATGAGGCAAAAAAAAAAAAATGCATGGAAAAACCAAATCATACATCTTCATTCTCAAAATTTGATGAAGTAATAAAAATTTTCTGTGACTACAAACCTGGCTTGAATTTCACCATTTTGCTTTTGGGATTATAGTCCATCCCTGACATGGCTGACCCATCCCTGGTACTGACCCTCACCCTGGACGTCCCATTGTTGTCACCAGTTCGGAGAATCTTGACCACAACTATGGCCGTCTTGTCTACGGAGTTAGGTTCATGGACACTATAAGCTGCAGACTCTATTTGAATGGTTGGAACTGAAACAAGCAAAATTCATTCCATCCTTTGGAAGAACAAAACTGGATATGTTTCCAATGGTAGAAATCATATTGTCTTTGTAAAAGAGGTTCCATTTAAGGGATTATGTTTTCAGAGCTAAGAAATGCCAAATGTACCAAATGCTTATTATTTCAATACCCTGTAATCAATGTATTATCAAACCACCAACTTTTCCTAGTGCTAAAGAATTATTATGAGACGTATAATTTGGAAGCTAAATTATTACGCAGTGGGGCCAAATGGGAACTGAGTCTCTTGTTGTGCAGCTACAAAGATAGGCTGGGGCTGATTTTCTACTGATATCTTACTAGTAAACTATGGTTTACCAAAGCCCTGATCCTTACCATCTGCCTTGTTAGTGATAGTGATAGTTGCAGTGTCCTTGTCCCCTACAGCTGCACCACACAGTTCAGTCCCTTCTGGATCCGTCAGCTTGACTTTAAAGATTTCATCTGGCTCATATTCTGTGTCATCAACTATCCCAATTCTACAATTCTTCATCTGAAAATTGTATTAAGATGTTCATATGTAGCACTTGGGAAAAAAACCAACAAATTGTGCATTACAAGAAACCCTTTCACACCTTTATCTCAGAACTTTTTATAATATACACCAAGACATAAATTGAATGTGTATATCTTACAAAGCAACATTCCCCCCCCCCCCCAAAAAAAAAAAAACCAAATCAATATCCTCACCACTTTTTTAATCATTTTCAATAATCAAATTTGAAGTCATGTCTATTTAAATAAATATGTAATACAGATGGTCCTTGATATGCACCTGCTCTCCAGGAAAAAATGTGATCCTAGAATCTTGCGTCTTCGTTCTTTCGTGGAAGTCCATCATGACATGGGCAGTTTTCTGCCTTGTGAAGCAGATGACAGAGGAAGAGTAGCTCAAGTCCCCAGTCCTGATGACAGGAATGTCAAGGAACTTTTCCTCTTCATCTATGACATAGGACAGCTTCTCAAACTGCATTGTTGGAACTGTTTAAGAAATTAATAATGTTCCACTTAAATGAAGATATAAACTTGTCTTGGAGAAGCACTTTATCAAACCAATGTTTCATATACTTTGCAAGAAAGAAGCTATACAAGTCAAAAGATTTTCTTGAATTTTGGTTATAGAATTTTATATAAATAACAAAAATCAAATCAATTCAAAAATCAAATTTATAACAAACACAATTTTGCATTAAATGTAGTTAGAAGTAGTCTCATAATTTTTCATTTTTGGAAAGAATAAAATATTGATGGAATGTAATACTAACTATCTAGATCTGTATCATTAATAGTGATCAGAGCACTGATTGGTTCAGTCAGACTGCTGCCCATTGCAGAACTCAGGAACACAATAAAAGTTTCATTTCCCTCTACCCTGGGATCTGCATTATCATCTAATATTGTCAGCTTGCAAACCTGTAAAGCATTTTATTATAAATGAAGAATAACATGGAAAAGCGATTATAATATATGCTTGTCAAAATGCGAAGAATGTTGTTCACTTAACAAGACAACTAAATCACCAGTTAACAAAACAATCAAAAACTCAATTTAAATCATCTCAAAGGTCATTATAAAATTTTCATTAAAAACCCTCTTATTAAAACTTAAAGATGTATGCCACTATTAGCCAAGAACTTTAGGTAAAATGCACAGATAAACTACAAATATAAAACAACCAGTTGCACAAAATGTATAAAATAAGCAAAAGGTCATTCCTACCTGTACATTCTGTCCAGGACCAAATGTTATCTGATTGGATGTTGGGACGTAGTCCTGTCCAGGTGAAGCAGACGGTGGGTTCACCATTTTTGTAGCACACCACACCATGGAACTATGGGATAAGTCTGAACCATCACGAATCACTGGAATCTCAACAATACCTGCATCTTCATCAAACCAAGCACTCTCATGAGCGAATGAGATCAGAGATTCTGAAAACATAAAAAAAATCCTACATGAAAACAATGCTATATTTTGCACATTTTCACATAAATATTGTACACAATTTTCAAAAGATGTGTCAAATGTCAGAATGCACTTCACTTAATTTAGAGTGCAGAACATCTTAAAAGACCAAGAAACCAGACCCAAATATTTAGAAACTCGTATGTTAAATCATAATATAATAGTCTTGCATTTTGCCCAACTCAATATTGCAACTTACCATCGTTTGGTCCATCAATAATAACAATAGCTTTAGATATGGGTCCAACTTTTGTCATCATGGATGGGTCAGACAGAACTATCTCAAACTGTTCCAAAGTTTCATAATTACTGTCATCAATTATCTGAAAATAAAATCCGCAAAAAAATGTGAACATTAGAAATGGCTCAACATTCCATATAAATCTTATATAAATTCAATCTCTTTTTTCAGTTCTCATTAAAAAGTTGAAAAGGAATAGGAAGAGGGAGTACAAGAAAAATTTGAAAATCTAATTGTTTTCAACTGAGGCACTCACTTGAACATCACAGGAGGCTTCAGTCTCTCCAGCAGAGAAGACGACCCGGTTTGCATCCGTCTGCTGTCTGGTTTTGAAATCGGCACCAGACTCCAGTCTGCTGCCATCACTCCCTATAGCAGTCATAGACAGGGTGGAACAGACCACTGAGGAACTACTGCTCAGGTCACCTGTAATCAGCCATATAAACCTTCTCACTTTCTCATTTCTCACAGTATTTGAATTATTTAAAAATAAATAGTTTAAAAACCATAAAAATAATATAAAGAAAAGGGGCAACCATTACTGAAAGAGAATTAATAAACTTTCAATATATTTGAAGGACATGCAAGTCACTTAAAAATAATCACTGCAATCATATTAATTGAAACTTATTTATCAAACACCTACCTGATCTTGTGAGAGTGGCATACAAAAAGCCATCACTCTCATTTACATGGTACAGGCCTTTCTCAAACTGGACCACAGGCTCTGAATAAGCCAAAACAACACTTGTTCAAATAACAAAAATGGCAACATTAATATTATGCACAAAATAATTAGATTGTATCAAACAGAAACAGTAAAGAGACGATACATGTGAAAAGTATTATCATCAGTGCTGCTACATATGTAAAGAGGTGTTTTCACACTGGTTTGATATTGTATTAGATTGATAATCAAAAATTGAAAGTACATTGTACTAATTAAAATCTAAACCAATCAAGGTTTAATCCTAAGAAGTTAACTTCTTCATCAAATAGCCCTTACCATCTTCCAAATCGTAAATGGTTACGGAAGCTTTTGTTGGGGTTCCTAACAAGGCATAAGCAGGTTGACTGAGTTCAACATAAAAAGTCTCTGGCCCCTCAAATATGGAGTCATCATTAATGACAATGGTACATGTTTTGGTGTCTTGCCATTCATCAAACTGAACCTGGAAACAAATACTCATTATCTTTAAAACTAAACACCAGGAATGTCTCTTTTATATATAATACCTTAAGTAAACAGAAACAAGTGATATTACAAGTAGTTATATATATGTCCTGGATATAAATGTAAGATTTATGTAATCTTCATCAAATTCTAAATCTGAAAAATATTCTGTAAACATTTCTTTGTTCAGGACTTCTATCAAACAAGACTTTAATTAATCAAAGCTGTCTATAAACCACTGTTTTCAATTATAAAACAGCATTGCTTCCAAGAAGTAACAAAATATTTGCACCTCAAAAATAAGGTTGTTTATTTTTTACCTGGCCCATGAATGCCTCATAATCATTCATCCCTGGTCTCACTATCCCAGTGGCTGATGATGCAGACACTGCACTTCCTGGGATGGCTTTACATTGCACTATGGAGTACTGGAATATCAAGGGATAAATATATGAACTTTAAAAAACACAAACATGCTGGTATTTCTTAGAAAATATGACGGCTGAAGAGAAAAGGCATGATATGAAAACACAAATATTCATCTTATGACAGATAAAATATCATGACACCCCAGTGATGATATTATGACTGCAAGTGCTATGCTGAGAAATGTAATAAGTATTCAGTTATACTTTATTTTAAAGAAAAACAAATATCAAGGGCCTTGTCTGTTTAGCTCAATTTCAAAACCTCAACAAGTTAATCATTTTATCGCAGTGCACAAAGTTCATTCTCATTACCTGTTTGAGGTTTCCAATCCTTTTGACTGGCACACGTATGACCCCTGAACTTTCTGTTATATTCATGCCTGGCAATTCAAAGTTGATATATGACCACCTGATGTGAAAAACCTGCTCCTTCACGATGTTTGGCTTGCTGTCCATCAGGTCAAAGGTGAACTTGTCTTTCGTTTCATTGGTGCTTGTAAACAAGACATACCGTATAACCCCATTGTTAATGTCCTCTGAAATAAACAAAGAGAGAAAATTTATGAGATTATCTTTTATTTGCATTTAACAAGAGAACATTTGAAAGACAGGAAAAGTATACCAGAAATGAATCTCATGAAACATTTGTTATCAATCAAAAGCTTCAAGAAAAAAAAGAAAAGAAAATTTTCCCTTCCTCATTTTAAAGACCACAAGAAAAGATAACACCATAAAGATAAAACAACTTTAAACACTGCATCCTGGTCAATAGTTGTAACTCATACCTTGAGAAAACAAAGAAATGGGTACATCTGGGTTGGCAGAGTTCTCTATCCTTCCATACTGTGGTGGCTCTTTTATCTGGTAGATCAAAGCTTTATCCTGGGTGTCCAGGTCTGCTGCTTTAAGCTCCTTGGATGTTATGGCATTCATGGCCTAAATTTGATGATGTGGATTCTTAATAGCTTTGTTGAACTGAACAATGACACACCACTATATGGGTTAATGAGCAAATTAAGTCTCAAGGGATAAAGTAACTTTTCTTGCAATGAGAAAAAAAATGTTAGTTATCACGTGTTAGGACCAATACACCAACAGTGGCCCTGTAATGCATTAATTACCACACATACCACGTCATCAGACAGGGTACCCAAGATAACAGCACACATATTCTTACCTTGCCATTTACATATTCCAGGTAATGTAAGCCCAGGTTTGTGGTTATAATAGGACTGCCATCATCCACTGGACTCACAGCTATCTCAAACAACTGAAGAGATAGTGAATAACATATTACCCTTTCTTTTTTCTCATTTTTATATGAACTTTAAGTTTATACATGATAATTCCTTTCATGCGTTAACATGTGGAATAAGAAAACATAGGAAACGACATCAACAAAATATTAAACCTCACATTCACTAAGCCAAAAGAAAAACACTTAAAAGTTACAATGGTAAAAAGATTAATTCAAATATTAAGGATACAAATGATTCTCCTGCAAATGAATAAGATGAATAAGAATGAATAAGTCCAGCATAACTCACCAGTGGTCTTGACAAGGGCACACCTTCAGGTTGGTCTTGTTGCATCATATAGAGATGATTGGTGCCATCACTTGTAGTGAAAGTAAAGCTGTCAAGGAGTGTCTCACTGCCATCATGCTGGTAACTAACACGGTTTTCGTAGATATCAGCCATACTAAATCTTGTTGCTTGTGTCTGCTGGCCGTTGTACAGCAGGTCTAATGAACCGTGGCGTGGATGCTGAATGACTGTGAAGAATACGTGGTCCTCCTACACGCACAGATGTTATAAGTGTCAGAATCAACATTATCAAAGTTATGCACAAGAATTTTGTAAAAAGATTTAAGCAAGTAAGACATAATGCCAATTTGACAGAGGAAGGAAGAGAGGCAATTAATGACAATATGGAACTTATAACATATTATCTAAGTTCAATGATAATAATTATAATAATTAAGACTAAAATACAGTTAATATTTTGCATAAAATATGCAAGTATGGTAGCAATCTTTTCGATGAGGAAATTGGTGAATTTTATAGATACTGTATTTTTTAGTTATCATTTCTGAAAATCAGATCATTCGTGTTGAGTAGTAGCAACAACATTCAAAAGGAGATCACTTTATAGTTATTTTTTGTGTAGGAAAGCACCACAAATGTTATACAGAAATATAACTTTTGCAATTATAAAATTATGTATCTGAAAGTTTGATAATATTTGCCCATTGAAAAGATTAAGTAATTCCCATATATTGAAAAATGTATTACTGACCTTAGTGTCTTTGTCCACTGCCTTCAGGTCAAACTCTGTGATGACCTTCCTGACCCCTTCCTGGACCTTAAGTCCATGGACGCTTACCACTGGCAGAGAGTCATCAACAGGGGTAATGGTCAGGTAGAAGGTTTGTGTCACCTAGAAATAATAAATCAGGAAACAAATTACAAAATATTGATATCTGGTACTGTATATCACTTACTGCAAATAATAGATCGAAAAGTAAGGTGATCAAAGGTCTATAGAATTTCAACAGATGTAAAAAAATTCCCCTTAAACTGATTATATATATACTGTATAGGTTTTTCTTTCCTGCACTTTGCAAATCTAAATACATAAAATTACTAATTGCTGAATATCAAAAAATTCTTTTTCAGCTTCACATAAAAATTGGCAGGAAAATAATTTGATGAAACCAACTGTGTCTTTTTAACCATTCTTACATCATTTGTCCCATCAGTGACAGAGAATGTAAAGCTATCCATATAGGTTTCTTCGCTGCTGGTATGTACATATTGTACCTGACCTGCTGCTAGATCTGACTGGCGAAACTGACTCACTGGCATTCCTGGAACATACACAGATCAATGTAAGTGTGTTGTCTAATATGCTGAACTTACACCACATCAGTATTGGTCTTGTATCATTCCCAGTACAAATACTACAAATGCTGATTTTCAAACATACACCCCAAATGTGTTGGTCAAAATTGAATTCACTGTGTAGTGTAATTCAACTAGGCATCATTTCAAAACCAAGTCCATAAAAGTTTATGTGGAAGCCAAAAATGGTAAATCTGAATTGCAGCAATCCTCTTTTATTGACAAATTGGTAGTGTCCTAGGTCACTTGCCCCTGGCTCCTACTAAGGCAATATGTCCTAGCTGTGGTGGAGTGAGGACAGAAAACAGGAGGTTTGCTGGCTCAGAATCTGTGTCTGTGGCTGACAAGAACTGTGTGGTGATCTTAGCAGCTCCACCTTCTTTTACACTGAACTCCTTGTTGGCTGTCACCTGGGGAGGAATCCTATCCTCTGGGGAAGGAAAAGAGTGGAAAATGTTAGAATGAGTATTAAGCCAAATACGACTAACATGCATGTCTGTCATTGTATAATATTGCTATGTATAGAACTAATTTTTAAGACTGATTGAATTTACCGAGTTAAATATGAAATGAAACGTGGTGATAAATATCCAATGCAGGAGAGTGCTTGGTGTTTGACTTCTTTAACTTCTGGATCATCACTTAATGCTACTTTATGTACTGATAGTACACGTAATATTAGCCCTTACCTAAAACAGTTATGACAAAACTTTGATCAATCAACACATTATCCTCTGGGTCTGATAGTCTGAATTTAAACAGAGTTGGACCTGCTGGTTCACTGACATCATGTACGTACTGGATATGACCTGCAAAAGAGAAATTCTAACCATTAAAATATATCATCATATATATTTATAGTATTAAATGCAATATGTCCATATATTGCACACTAAGAAATATGAATTAGGCATTAACAGAAACTACACAACTAAATCCTTTTTGTTGCATTTTTGTCATTTCTCTTAATCTGTGCGTTTTTTTAATGCTCACACTTATCTATAAGCTTTGTCATTCTAACATTGGTGACCCAATAAATAAAATCAATATAAAGCACATAAATATTTATCCCATTCTTACCTTCATCAATATCCGACTGTGTAAAGCTGCTTTGGTGGCCATCTTTAGTAATTTCTGCTATCAGCTGGCCTTTAACTAACTTCAGTTTGCCTGATGACAGATCTTCAGTGATTGTATAAATGATCTGGCTGTCCTCAGAATCTACATCACTTGCTTTCAACAGGTTATTTCCAATCACTGTGATAGAGCCTAAATAGAACAAAACAATTTCTACATAACATAGGTCACTAATCACCTATTGTAAATCATTAGTGATGATGTTTGTGGATAGTGATAACAGCTTTGTTCATTATGATTCATAGCTATAGGCAACAGTTTCATGAACTGGCACCAGGATAAGTGTCTGAAAACGGCTTTCTACGACCAAGGTGGCGAATGGAAGAGATTCATTTTACTTTATAACGTGCTCGATACATCGGGTCTGAAGTGGGTTTAACATAATATCTCCCTTAAAAACACTATCATCTCCTCACCTGCTGACACCTGGAGCCCTCTATTGACCACTACACGGGGAGTTTCATCATTCACAAGACCAATGACAACCTTCATGGTTTTCCTGTCTGTGAATTTTCCATCTGTTAACTGCAGAGTGAATTCATCTCCATCCACTTCTCCCCCTTCATGTGTGTATCCTATCAGCTCATTGAGGATGTCCTATTGAAATAGATACATTACATAAAAACCTCATGTGCTATCCCACAGTAACTTGTTAATGGTGCATAAAAAGGCAAAGAATGAATAAATTAAAGCAAAGTAACACTGAAATCAGCTCTAAGCTGCATGAAATACATTGATGGTATTATAAAAGAATATCTTTAGGGTGACTTTATTCACAATTTTTGCTAAATAATTATGTCAGTAACATCCAATGACTGAATATCTATTAAAATATTCATCGAAAATTAAATGTTATACTTATATTGACCTCATAAGTGAATGTGGCTCCTTGCTGTAATTCTTTCCCAGAGAATATCATATCCTGCATGTACTCCTTTCTTCTAAGTTTGCCTGCAGATATTGGAGAGACATTGATTAAATATTATACAAATTAAAATAAGTAAAAAAAAATTCACAGGAAACATCATTCCATGCCTAAATTACATCATATCTTTAATATTACTCCCATTCAATTCAACAGTTAATGCATTCTTCAAGTCATGAAATATATGCACTTTAAACATAACCAAAATATGCTCTCTTTATCATGGCAAATACAAGACAAGTCTTCTCACTACAAAATATTATCTCTTTACCATGCTGTGGCAGTGCTTCCACTGTGAACAACAATTCCTCAGGCACGCTGTCAAAGTCAATGACATACATGGTAGCATTGGTCATTACCACGCCACGACCTTCTTGACAATGTAACTGCTCTGTCACCATCACTGGGGCCTCATCATTGGTCAACTGGAACAGGGAAGGCAAATAGTTACCAAACATATCAGATTAAAAGAGTGATATATGTCATATGGATATGTTATCACTTACCAGTACAGATATGTTATCATGTACCAGTATGGATATGTTATTTTTAACCAGTATGGATATATTATCACTTATCAGTATGGATATATTATCAATAACCAATATTGTTTTTTTTTTTCATTTACCAGAATGGATATGTTATCACTTAGCAAATGGATATGCTACCACTTATCAAGTGGATATGTTATCACTTACCAGTATGGATATATTAAACCTCTGAGAAGGAGAATCATTGGTGCCATCAGTGACATGGAACAAAAAGCCATCTGCCACTGGTTCTTTATTCTTGTGGTCAGTCTGGACATAGTATACCCCACCATCCAGTAGGTCCTGCAGGGGGAAGGTAGTGACCACTGATGGCCTCCCTGGCTCTGAACCTAGTCCTGTAATGAAAGAAAATACCATGCTGCCAGAATGCTGATAATTAGTTAATTAGTTACAGATATACTTATTATAAAGGATCTTTCAAATTGTGTTTTCAAACAGACCATAAAATAATTTAGTCATTACCAGACCAGCTTTGCTTTTAACATTTTATATCTGTCAAACAAACTCCACAAGTAAGTTAAATGACACTGCAATAAAATAGTGGAATATATTGTCATAGTTTCATAAAAGTATATTATCCAGTAATTCCAATCCTCCAGTAGAATGGTCAGAACTGTACCTCTGAGAGAATTCTTCACCACACCAAAGCTTGGCAATGCATCAATGACCACGGTCAGCAAAGATACAGGGGTGTCCATGTCCATGGCACTCAGGTGTTGGGGAGTTAACTGGACACGACCACCTTCTTCTACCTGAAATTCAACACCAATACTACTGGTCAAAGAAATGCAATAAAATATATATGTCAGATTTATCAGTAATACTTATAGCCATATTATTAAAGATATTCTACAAAGACAAGTGTGATGTAGTCTAATGTAGACTGATTACACAGAGAATGGCTTTGACAGTAAAAACAGCATAACTGCTAAAACATATACACGTGTAATTTGTGTAGCTATCTGAAATTATTACCTCTACTCCAGGTCCCACAGTGACCACTGGTGCTTGGTTATTGACTGGATCAATTGTGATGGTCAGAATTTGATTGGCCAGGACATGGTTATTGGGGTCTGTCACATTGAAATACAGGATCTCGTTAATGGGGCGACTGCCTATCTCACTGGCAGCAGTATATCTGAAATGTTTTGGTGGAGGGGTTTAGATGATTTTGATAACTGTTAAAACTATAAACTAACATCATCAAGCCTACTTTCTTAACCACAGAATTTAAACAACTGATGCATATTCAGTTATCATTCAAGACCTGTTACTGTCACAATATTCTTTGTGAAAGGCATTTTAGTGTTTTAACACTAAAAATTTAAAATTCAATTTGCAACACACTTTAACTGATATGCTGCATCAAATTCAGTAACTCAAATATGGGTCTTACTTGATTATGTCATTCTTTATATCCTGCTGGGTAAATGAGCTTCTCCGTGTAAGAATCTCCCTCCCCCTCTTTAATGTTCCCTGCATGGGGTCCATGACAACCTTGATTATTAACTTATCATCACTTGTATCTATATCTGTGAAGGCCATATGTTTCTTTTCAATGGTTGATGTATCTCCTGTAAAATATCATATTTTCCAAAGTAAAAATTGTTACTAATGATTTGAAACCTTGAAATGCATACAGGAATACTTAAGTTATATCAAAAAGTCTTGTAGCCATGGCATTAATGTAAAATTAATAGCATATGATGACTGCAGGTACCACACTATTTTCATACCTTGTCAGAAGATGGCAATCATATTAAAATAAATTTTCAAAAGATATAAATGAATGGCTGGAACATCATAAACACACCTTCTGGTAAAGTCATACTAAAGCTAGCCTGCTTGTCAGCCATGGGAGACGCTCTGTCTGCCCTGGTCACAGACACCTTCACCCCAACTGGCACAGTGTGGACACCATCACTGACTTTGAAGTACAACATGTCTTCCAAACGTCTGGAGCCATCATGCTGATACATGACTGCATTGTTCTTAACATCTGCATATGTCATCTCTTCATCTAAAACAATAAGATGTAATGAAGCAGTTGGATTAACAAACCGCATTGTGGCATGAAAATCTACAGATAAAAATTGTTTGATATTCTCAAATTCTCTGCAACAAAAATTTAAAAAGTACCGTAGTAAATAGTCAGAAAATATAAAATTACATAAATATGAAATATACAATCTAAATTTATGAATTCCATACCTATTCTTAATTCACTCCTCCTTCCATTAGAAGTCTTCGTGACTTTACCAGCAACTGGATTCTGGGTCAAGGTCAAACTAAGGTCATCAACACTGGTATCAGTATCTATCAATGCAATCACATCAGGTCCAAGAAGAACACTGCCACCCTGGGTTACCTAGGAGACAGCATTTATTTGTAAGTCAATCTGTAGATGTGTGTAGTAAACACAATAATCCAAATATCAAATTTAAGTTTCATCATAATAACATGTTCATTATTCAAGTTAGGTGCACTGACTACAATTCTGACAGAAATACAATTTTTCACATTACATCATAATGACATAAAGAGACATTCGATACAAAACATATTTGAAACGATGCATCTTTATGAAAATTTTGGTTCAAGTCACTCTTGTTTCAGTCTACAAAAATAAGACATTGCTAGTCTGTACCTTGACAGAAGGCTCATTTTGAAGCAGTCTGGGTGGCATGTTATTGACTGGCATCACATAGATAGAAAATGTCTGCTTGGGAAGTGTAGAGCCACTTGTTCTATCTTGAACTAAAACAGTGTATATATTGTTAAGCATATCATGATACAGTTAACCTTACCATTCATTGTATCTGTACCTTTCATCTCATTAATACTTAAGCCACATATGCCACCTAACAGCGTGAAGCTTACTGCAAAAGCACACTATGGGAAACCATCATCGACTTCTTCCTTCAAACTAAAAGCAATTGAAACTGTCACTTAAAATTATACAAATCATACTTCCAAATTTGCTTTATCAAAGTTGTGCTTGCTGTACCTATAAAATCAAAGGTGAATTTCTTCTCCTCTGGGCCAATTTCAGTCATAGGAGGTCTGTAGATGATCTTGTTCATGTTGATATCTTCTTGTGTGAACCTGAACACTGGCTGGAAGGGTTCCCTGATGTGTTCTACAGAACCCTGAGTGGACTGCAGAGGTCTGGTGATGGTATAAACTATGTCCCTGTCATCAGAGTCAATGTTCTCAAAGGCAAGGTGGGCACTCATGATGGGTACCAGCTGGTTCTCCAACACCTAGGCCAATGTTATATTGTTATCAGATTGAAAGTAAAAACCAAGATGATTATAGTTATAGAAAATAATTGCTACAATGGATAATAGTAAAGTCCCAATATGTATGTCATTAAAACACATATCCATTACTCATATATGTTGGTAATGCTTCAGCATGAATCAATACCATAGATTATTATACAGCTTGCTTTTCCATATAAAACTTTTTACCACAAAATATATATGTGTAATCACCTTCATACTAAGGTCCACCCCAGGTGCCACAGTGGGGGCAGTGCTAGGAGCATCACTCTGGGGCACTGAGACTGAGATGTGGAAAACCTGGTTTCTCAGGATGTTGGGAGAATTAGTGCCCTCAGACACCTATCAAAACATTAAGAAATGTGATTTCCTTAGTACTGCATTTAAAAAAATTTGTATTTCAATACATATATCCTCTTTTTATTGAATGAAAAATAAGAGATTTTTTAACAATTTTTCTACATTAAAGAAAGCCATTATCTCCTTTATTCTTTTTCGCAAAAAAAAATTTACCTCAAAAATAAACCTGTCTTTTCCTGTACTGGCTCTACCCTTGTGTTGGTACCAGAGTCTTTTCTCATCCACATCTCTCTGGAGGAACCTGTACATCGTAGCGCCCATAGTTCCATCCCCATGGTCCTTCCAGCCTCTCCTGGCTCCATCTGGTGGGATGGGGACTATCATCAACAATGTCCCTGGAGTAAACACAAAAAATTAAGTACCCAAGTTTTCATCTATATTAAATAAATAAAAAACACATGTCTTTTAAGTACTATATAAACTGCTGATGAGAATTTTTCTGACACATAAAAAGTGACATTGTAATTGCAAGATATACAACAAAATAAATTTCCAGAACCACTGGGCAGAAGTAGTGGGTTAAATATTTTTGTGAACACAGCCTTTGAGAAATACCATTCTCAAGATTTAACAAAATGCATGTGACACATCTTTCACATCAAAATTACAGTGTATCCACTATTTTGTACCTTCTTTAGGATTGTCAGTTATGGTGTAAATCAAGTTGGATTTCTGCTTTCCTCCGGACACAAAATGCAGCATGTCTTTGGTCAGTAGGACCATTTTACCCATCTCTACCTTTGCTCCCATATTAACCTCCATTACTGGGACACTTTTACCCTGGAATAAAGTAATAACAATATAACAGCACATATACCTTAGGTCTTACCTTTACTTTCTTTATGTATACTCAGAGTATATATATGTACAATGAAATTCAACAAGATTACAACATTAACATGCAATCATTTTCAGTTAAATCAACATTAAATTACAAACAAATTACAAAAAATAGAGTTACATTGACCAATATAGCTTGGCACTCACTCCACACAAAAAGAAAGCAAATGTGTGACAAAATTTGCACTAATTTCTGCATTTCCATCAAACTGTGCACCCACACCTGACCCAAGTCACCTCACCTTGGACTGGACTTCTATCTCCAGGAGTTCATTCTTCACTTTCCTTCCATCAGATATCTGGAGTAGGACAGAGTCATACAGAGCCTCTCCTCCATCATGTCTGTACATTATATCCCCAGACCTCAGAGAGGACACAGTAAAGGTACTGGCTGGCCCATACATCTGACTCACCATACTGCCGTGTCTAGGCTCTGCAGAGGAAAAGACAACAGACATCTACCAACTGATAATCTACAGATTTGGTAACCGTTACATTTGGGTTTAACATCTATATCATAACCAATTGCTTGGTACTTAATATTTAACACTATTTCACACATTTATTATAATAGAAAAAAGGGTTTAGTATGCACAATACAAAATGTCATTGTTTTACAATTCCACATTATCAACATTATTCATTGTACCAAACAACTTTGAAAAAGCACAAATGTAATTAGTGCTTTTTCAAACAACTTTGAAAAAGCACTAATTAAATTTGTCATATTATTTGTGATCAATAAAGATATAAAATCTTAATTTTTGGTTAAGTGAATCACTGGAGCTTACCTTCAATCACCCTGACAGAAGTATCAGATGGCCAGTCTTGGGACAGCCTGTTGACAAACCCAGCAGGAAGAACGGTAACAGTTCCCTTGGTGGTCAAGAGTTTCTCTGCAATACAAAGCCACTGCTAATTACGTTTGTGTTTGGAGTTATCCAAACCACATGATGTTAACAATAAAGTGTGATGTTCAATTGACCTTCATTCTTATCGTGGTGTAACCATTTATTATAACACACACACATATTCACACACATACACTCATCATCATCATCATCTAATTCTGCCTCACTCTCATAGAAAAAACCCTCAGAGAGTTAATGCCTCTTCCATAATGTTCAATAGTCTGATTTTCACTTGGCTTGCCACACAACTCAGTTGTGAATATGTACTAACTGCAACAAGATAAAAATACCTGCACCCATCATCTACTTAGTGATATCAAATAACAGTATTTTCTTTAATATGCCCTCATACTTCACGCTAGACTTGACAAGCCGAACAAACTTAATCCCCAGACTTATAAAAGAACACACATAAAAATGATGTTTAAAACTTGCACCAAAATGATACGTGATCAGAAAACAAAAGGAGAGTCACAAAAGCTCAGTGACCATTATAAAGGAAAAAAATATAAGAATGGTGTCCAACATGTCATGGTTCAGTAAATTTTAATGGGAAAATTCTTTTGAAAAGATAAAATTTCATGGAAAGGAAAGCACTTCCATTGGTATAGAAATACTTCTGGTAAACAAGCAGAAAATTGAATTATCATATTTCAAACCAGCATGAGAAGAAACCTTGAACAGCAGCACAACAATTACTTACAAGCAGAAAACATGACAGAAACATGCATTTTGAAGTAAAAGATACACAAATAAAGAACTTCAATAGTATTTGGCATCTTTTTCTCATTTCATGATGCAGTTATCCAAGACAGAATTTTATATACACATCCATATATTTAGCCTTAATAAAGGTTACGTCTATGGAGATCTTTCTTTTTATGCAAAAACTTCAAATGGCACTTATGAAATTTCATGTAGCATTCCTCCATGTTATCAGTACTCACCTTGTACACACTGGCTACCACTATCACAACAGTACTTGGTATAACACACTGGTGAACCCTGGACACAAACACATAACCTGCATGTTACCAGTACTCACCTTGTACACACTGGTGACCACTATCACAGCAGTACTTGGTATAACACACTGGTGAACCCTGGACACAAACACATAACCTGCATG